AAGAGAGTGGGTTTTTTTTGCACGAGTTAGCTATGCTAACACAAGTCTATACAGGGTGTATAACGGCTAAAATGCTTTCTATCAAATTGTGGCTGGAGAAAGTGTACCGAAAACAATTGATTCCCTCTGCTATAAGAAAAGATTGGTTACAAATAGACGGACTATATAGTAGGATATGGAAGCTAAGATATGAATTGTACGATTTGGAAAAGAGGACAGACTTGAATTGTGTCACTTGGCGGTGTTTTGGCGTGTAAGGATGAAGGGCAGGGATTGAAGCTGGAGGAGAAAGAAAAATGGTATTTGATAGATGAGGTGGAGAGGCCAAAAGCAATGATAGAAGCAATAGTGGAGACCAGGACAAGATTGATAGAAGTAGAATTCAAACAATGGAAGAAACTAAGATGCAGGGATAATTTATCTTAGCAAAGAATGAGGAGGCAATTTAGAGGCGGCCTGCTGATAGTGTCTTAGATTAAGGAGACTGTGACGCTATTCAAGAGACTTGGGAACGAACAGGATATGCTGCACGAAAAGGACTATATAGGTGCAGTAACTAAGGCAAGGGAAGATGCAGACCTTTTGGCATTACAAGGAGTGCCAGAGGGACTCAACAATTTGCATCATTTCACATCAAGAGGGGTTTCCTTGGAGATACTGAATTGCGGTAGAAGATATGGCAGTACGGGTGCAAGGGAGAAGCACGGCGGCTGCTGTACAGCTGAAAAAGCCTCCTTCTTTCTTCGATCAACTGCTGAGCTTGAGAAGAGCCGACAGAGCTCTCTGGAAGCCACATTTGTTCGCCTTTCTCCATCAGCGAACTGTCTGCAATTTTCTTTGAGGTGGACGCAGTCCCCTAAAGTCTCTACACCCAGACGCATCAGACAGCTGTCTGACATCGCCAGAATAACGTGTGGGTCGAAAATCTCATCTGCAAATCGCTTGGAAAGCGTTGAAAGCCCAACTTTTTGAAGGATGGACTCCATTTTGTTCTAAAATGGCGGGATCAAAGAAAACGAAGGAGCTTGAAAACTAACATTTCTGCGATGCATTGTGGGTACATCATCAGAAAGTTTGGTCATCAAACTTTTGGTACTGCTCATAACATTGCTGCTGGAGGTCAATGCTGCGTTAAGGTCCACAAGTAGTCAACCGTAGTGAACGTAATGCCAAACGATAAGAAAATGAACCACATATAACGAAGTTTTGACAACACATAATAAAACGTGCACTGTACATATCGACAAAAGCACGCGATATAATGAAAAAAGCACTACGTACATCACAGTAGGTACATAATATATTTGTTAATGGACTCCGTATATAAGGAAGATATGTCAATATATTCATTGATGGACCGCTCATAAAGGTATGAGTGCTAGATATAATGGTGTCCCGAATGCATATAATACTCGTCAGAAGACATGTGACAGTGTTGGCGCTCCATAAATAAGAGAATTGAGAGAAAAAGTTGTTGGTTTTTTGGGCATTCAAAGATTTTTTCTTGTATCTCAGATATCTCTAGGAAGGTCGTTGAAATCTGCCCTTCCGTAGTTATACGCTTTTCGCCTCACACACATTGATCGCCTCAATTTCAGTCGAAAAAAGAAGCCCACCATGTAGTGATGAGAGGAAAATTTGCATTGCTAAGGAGCAGTTGTTTGAATTAAGTCTATAACTTCATAAAAGTTACATAAAAGTAGATCAAGTTTTGTTTCCAGCAGTATGTGTGGGACCTTTGATAAATTGTCCTCCATAATATCACAAAATGCTACGTCCTCTACTGTTCCACCTATGTTAGTGGAGGTAGATTCACTCCAGCGACCATTTAATTGATGGTAAATTGAAATCACTGACCAAGACAGTGCAGGCTGTTTCAGGATTTAGTTGAAGAGAATGGTTAAGCACATTCAGATCACCCTGGAGGAAACGAGTTTTGGAAAAGGATGGTCAGCTAGTGGACTCGCTATGAAAGATAAACTTTCAATTTCCATTTTTTCAGGGTCCAGCTGTTGCGGTAGCCCATTGTTTGGTCAAAAATGTCATAATACGGAAAGTTCTCCTTGATTTTATTTTGGCCCTCTTCGCCGGTTTAACTAGCCTTAGCTTAGCTGTGTTGTATTCATACATAAATTTTGTTGCCCCTTTTTTTACCACTGGCAATCTAAAGCTCACTGTGTTCAAATCTACTCTTAAAGTCCTGGAAAATTTCATTCCAAATAGCTGTGCTTACTTTGTTGGAGGCTCATCATACTGGACAGCCCGCGCATGTAGGTGTTTAAACTACTGCTCGGACCAGTCTGCAGCTTTGGGTTTTGCCGTTTCCTGTCCTTTCTCTTTTGGCGCTGATTCCTTAGCTGTGTTGTATAAAAAAAGCTGGCAAGGTAAGCTGTACTTGTTGATAAAAGTGCTGGGGTATGAAAAAATGACCAAGTAGAAACTGTTGGTTTTGAAGAACTGCATTTCGATTCTGGTGAAATGAATACCGATGGTTTAGGTTTTCTCTGAAAATAATATTCGTATGTTTCAAAGTTGTTTCGTCCCGATCTCTAGTTGATATGCATATAGTCAAGTGAGTAAAGATTTAGCAAGTTTTTTCTACTGCTGTCGTCGCCATTATGCTTTTCGTTGAGTCAGATTACTAAGATGTATTTTTGTTTTTGTTTTTGTTTTTGTTTTTTGTTTTTTGTTTTTTAGAAAAGACAGCCATATGCTTGACTGATCGCTAAGCTGAAATTCTCTCTGATATTGGCCAGTCAGGTAAATTACTTCAGGGTAAGTATTTTTTAGAAGCGAAAGGTTTCTTTTTCATTTCCTGTTATCTTTGATCAAGTCGAGTAGTTAGTATAACAAACGTTTTTTTTGTGGGACATCGGACAACCATGACCATTGTTTTTTGATTTTATAGTTTATAACCTTTATCTTAAGAGGCTGACACCATTCAAAGGCTTTCTTTTTGTAGTGATTACGACCTCCTCCGTGTGCTGTTACCTTGTCGTGGTGGGGGAGCTTGTGTGCCTTAATGACGCTGTGAACTATACCGGCCGAGGCTAAACCTCAACATAGCCTGGCGGGTTACAGGGGAGAGGACAGACTAAAAGCAGCACCTGGCCCTCCAGGTTGGGGGTTGGGAGTAGGGCTAAAAACCCCACCCCGTAAAACAGCAACTTGTTACCAAGACGGTTACAACACTATCCACAGAAACGCTGGTAGCATGGCAGCTTAAAATGAATAGACTAGAAAGCCTGTTCATGAATTAGAGCTCTCTAGGAATCAGCTCTGGACATGGGAATGCGCACAAAATGCACACCAATGCATGTTATGAATAATTGCAGAACTACCCTCACCTCCTCTTGTAAGCGAGTGTAGATGGACTGAGTCTGAATGTACAGTGAAACAATGGCACAACTATCGTTTTCTCAGGCAGACAATGGACTCTCCAGTGGTATAGCCCTTATTGCAAACAGACAAGCAGCCATATCTCTGATGGAATGGGAACCTATCTGTGATATACTAACCAGGGCATGATTCGTCTAAGGATACTGCAGTTTGGCCATCTTGCAGTGTTATGCTCCTACCAACAAGGCTGAGAAAGGGGACAAAGATGATTCTCATCAGCAACTGCAACGTGCATCCTCCAAAACAAGCAAGAACAACCAATGGTCAAGTCAAGATTTTGAGGGACGAAAAACCATGCGAAAACTAAAACTTTAAGGTTTGATGCAAGAGCGTTACAATTACGCGGACACTATTTATAGTGAAATAACAATTGCGGAAACAAGTGTAAGTAATTAATTTACCTTTTATAGTTGAAGTATAGAACTGTCACACCAAAGGTAAGGCCAGACACGATCGGGTTGTCATAGTTTCAAGCGGTACATGCGCAGTCTGGAGTATTAATGTTTACAGTCAGAAGAAATTGTTTGAATAACAATTTCTGTATAGGGTGTAGTTAGCGTAAATATTAAGTAGCAGAATATAATAACGTAAATAGCAGTCACAGATCCAAGAGCAGTCAAAACATCAAACACGAATTCCTAGAATCCGAATGAGTAAAGAGAGGGCATGCCCATCAAGAAGGGAATGCGAAATAAAGAAGATCAGTTTATAAAGCCATCCTACCAGCCTTCAATGCATAGAGAATGCAAGCCTCATATATAAAGGATTTCATGGACGAATTGCTGAGAGGAGGAGACGCGGAAGAAACGCCAGCACGTTCTTAGGAAGATGGAAACAGCAACAAAAAGAACCAAAACAAATGATGTAATGGGCTTCCAGAGTTATTGGAAGATATTTGGATGAATGACAGTGGTGAAAACCGGCAGGTAACCACTGACAGGAAGTCCCGAGCACCAAATCCAAGACCAGGATAAGTTTTTGGAATGTGAGGACAACGTTTGAGACCGGTAAGCAAGCTCAAGTGACATCGGAGATGAGGTGCTAAGAATTTGCATACCCTGGGAATTAGTGGGAGTAGATGAACCGGATCTGGAAGACTCAGAACTAGTACAGGGAGACGGGGTTATATTAGGGACCTTAAGCAGCTTCGTCGAGGACGAAAACGAGAACGAAATTATGACGTGGCATGCTCTAGGACACTGGGACGAGAACATCGTTTTCGGCGCGAAAATTGAAAGTTAAGCACCCGCGTCTTGTACAAAGACGAAGACGTCAACAAGTGAGGCTCAACAAGTGGTGGTTTTAGTTATGTCGTCGTTTAAAGACATCAGGGATTTTGTTTTTGTTGGATATGCCCACGACATGTTTGATGACGAAGAATTCTGCCTTCTCTATGACTTTTATCAGTCGAAGAACCGGATTTTCCTTACAACTCGTGACGCTGGGCGTCGTTCGATTTGGGGGAAATGGATCCTGCTGAGTGTTATACCGAAGTTTGAGTCGAGAAATGGCACATTCCCTTGCTGGCAGACAGGCTACAGATTCCCCAACATTCCAGTGCCCACAGCGTTCCCGCTTATGATGGCATAGAAGGGCTATGTATGCTACTGAAGCGACTGGCTTACCCCTGTCGATACAGTGATATGGTGCACAGATTTGCAAGGCCAGTTCCGGTCTTAAGCATGATAACAAATACTGTTCTCGATTATGTCTATGACAGGCATGGCCACAGACTAACTCAGTGGAACAATCAAGTTATGGACCCCAACCATTTACAGCAATATGCAGACGTAATTTCAGCTAAAGGCTCTCCCTTAGACAACTGTTTTGGTTTTGTCGATGGTACGGTTCGACCAATAAGTCGCCCAGGACAGCACCAGAGGGCTGTATACAACGGACACAAGAGAGTCCATGCATTAAAATTTCAATCTGTTGCTCTACCGAATGGGTTAATAGGAAACCTATATGGCCCAATAGGTAATAATAATTATAATAATGTATGGAATTATTTATGCATGGTAGTCACTTCAGTTTAAAATTGTTAATTAAAAATAACCCTGAAAAATAAATAGAAAGATGAAGAAAATAAAAAAACTTAAGATGGCAAAAAATTCAAAAGCCGGTTCCTGAAAGGTGGAACAACACTATCCAGGGATAAAACTGTCTTATTACAGTCATAACTTTGTCCTGGGATAAAGTTATGACTGGAATAAGGCAGACTTATCCCTGGAATAGAGTTATTCCACCTTTCAGGAACCGTCCCCTGAAAAAAGGTCAAAAAGGGTAAAAATCAGGAATCAAGTACTGAAAAAGTCCCATCAAGTGGAGGTGATTGATCTCTTCAGAGATATAATTTTGCAGATTAGAATACTGAATGAATTCTTTTGCAAAGAACTTAAATTTCCATCAGGTTCTCTACTGAGTATGCACCACAAGGTCACAACCATTGTCCACGCATCTAATTGTTTTCTAAACCTTTCATTTTCAGAAGGTAGAAGACATGATGCAGCTATGTTAGCTGAATCAGGCTTGCTGCAAGATCTCCAGCACCATGCAGTTTCCCCCCATGGCCACCTAATGTGCTTATATGGTGATCCAGCTTACCCGCACAGAGTGCAACTCCAACAACCATTCAGAAATGCTGTTTTAACACCCCAGATGCAAGAGTACAATGCCAGAATGAGTTCTGTGAGGGAATCCGTTGAATGGCTATTTGGGGACATAGTGAACTACTTTAAATTCATAGACTTGAAAAAAAATCTTAAAATAGGCTTGAGTAGTATTGGCAAGATGTATATTGTCTGTGCAATTCTGAGAAATGCACTTACATGCCTGTATGGAAATGAAACTTCCAAGTTTTTTGAATTAGACCCACCCTCACTTCATGATTATTTTGCCTGAATGTCACAAATGTACAGAAGCCAGTCAGACTAAACAAATTTAATAATGTTTTTTTACAGCATCACAACATGATGTGACGTAACTAACACAAGTATATAGGCAACAGCAGGCCATTAGCATTTTGTTTACATTAAATAAGAAAGTACCTAATGTCAGAAGTACACTGTAACAAAAACTACCAAACAAATTGTAAATAAACAATGCCTTACAAAGTGATATAATTATGAAGGCTTTTGAATGACAACAAGTTGGGACAAGGAAAAAACCCTTGTCACCTTTACTTCTTAACAACTTTTTCTAGGAGAGCCAACATAGCTTGTGTTTGCTGTGTTTGCTGGCTTACAAACATAGCCTGCAAATTCTGAAGTTGCTGCTGTTGCTGTCTCATCATAGCAGTCATTGCTTCTTGCTCACTCCTTCTTAAATTTAGTTCTTCTTGTTTCATTTGGTGGTCCCTCTCAGATTTGTTCTCCAGAAATTCAAGCATCTCATGTGAGCTGCGCCTTGTTTTTTTCTTCTTTGAAGAAGTTTCTCCCACATCACTTTCCCTGGTTTTAGTCTGAGACATCCTTTCCATTGCCAGTCTTCTAATGTTGTCAGCACTTGCCTTGTCTTGCTCTGCTTTTCTCTTTTTGGTATCTCCAGACTCAATCTCAGCTCTAGCAGCTTTCTCTTTCTCCAAAATTTCTTCCAATAACAAGTCAATTTCTGTTGGTGTAACTTCTATCCCTGAAGCTTTCTCCTCCTCTCTTAACTGCTCTGCTTTTCTGGTTGTCAGAAGTGTGTAGCGATCACGTACGGATCTAGTTGTAACTCTCAACTTTGGAGCTTGGATGCTATTTAAACTGGAGGCAATCTGCTCCCAGGCTTTTGCTCTTTCAACACTTCTAACTTTGTGGGCGTATGGCTCAGTAACCAAAAGCTCTCTACAAAACAAGATGTCATGGTCCTTTGTCCAGACAAAGTTGGTTCTATGAAAAACAACACAAGCCAAAAATTACTTTGACAGCTTCAGTGGTAGATCCATTATTTTTAGACCATTACTACAAAGGATTTACCAGGAATGGAAAAAAATTAAAGGGGGGTGATTCCTATAAGGATATACAGGGAAATTCGAGGTAAATGAGGGTGGCCAGCAAACAAATTCACACACTCTGAATCAACTCTGGAGATTTTGCCAAAAATTCCTTCCATGATCTTTCTATTGAAAATATATTTTTTAGCATCCTGTTTATCACTTAATTACTTATTATTTTGTGTAATATTGTTGAATTTGTCTATCCTCTACCCCCACCCCTCTACCTCTGACACACTTCTAGCATCTCCCCACTGATGCTATGATATTCCCAGTTTTTTATCATTTTCACTCTTTTTTACCCCCTTGCTCACACAAACCCTCCCAACAAGGAAAACAGGTGTACAAAATAAGGTTACATGTACATCTGAGAAGGGTGATGGGAAGAATAAAGTAATTCAGGTGAATTAAGGCTTACAAATAAACAGACTCCTCAATAGTGGTGTCTGTGACAGAGTATTTTAACAGGGTTCAAAAGTTTAGAGATGGAGAGACACTCACTATTAGGCAGGTACTTTTTAAGTTTATCGAAGGCTGAGGTTTCAATTATATTATTATACCAATATAATTTGTACCTTAGAACTAATGTCAATCTTATGCTGTAGTAATATTGTAGACTAATATTTATGTTTATTTATTACTGATACCCTCCAAGATTAGCTAATGCTACACGCGGGTTGTGTAAATTGTATTTCATATATCCGGTGGAAATAAATAAAAAGTAAAAGGTATGAAACACTTCTTTTCGCTAAAAAGGTTCGCTTTTATATCGTGATCAAAAGAAGCCGAACAAAGTGTGATTTGCGATGTGCGGATCTGGTGATTTCTGGTAAGAATGAGACAAATGAGGGCTCAGTTGAATGAGGGATAATATTCCATATCTAGCTAAATTCTAAAGCACAGATTTGTCAAAAGACCAAAACAACTTGAGCTTACGTGTTTTTTCCCGCGCTTGCTGGTTGCTGTACGTCTATTGCATTCATCTACAAGTGTCAAATAAACAACATTTTAGAGAATTATCAAAACCTTGAACAAAATATACAAAGAATATTGCTTGAGAATTAGTTCCTTGTTCGGAAGAATGAGAAAGATCGTCACTTAACGGCAAAATGAAAGATACTTTACTTACGTTCTCACCACAACGAAAAACACTGACACTTGCCGTCCTTGACAACGCCACAAAAACGAAATTTCAGACATGCGCACTCCGAAGAAAAGGTGAAATATGACTTCCGGTCGTTCTCGTCTTCGTCCGCGACGAAGCTGCTTAAGGTCTCTATTAAGGAGGAGGTGACAACTAACACCAGGAGGATGTGGCCGTCATTCTCGGGAAGGGTACAGAGAAATGCTTGATGGAGTGGAAACCTGCCAACAGCAGACTCATCAAGATCAGGCAGTTAATGAAACAGATCAATACGACGATCATACGGTTTTATGCATCCACAAATAACAACGATAAAGAAATGAAAAGACAGATCAGTTTCTTATTGAGTTAGAGGAAATACCAAGACATGATATGACGATTATGATAGGGGATGTGAATGCTAAGGCTGAAAGAGATACCCAACTACAAGAGAGCCATGTGAAGATAGGGTTGCGGCACCATTGATGAGAATGGAGCGAGACTGGTGGAACTCTGAACAATTATGACCTCATCATTGAAGTGACACTCTTCACATTTATCCACAGGTGATCTGGTACTCCCAACAAAAGAGATGAAAACCAGATACACCACTTCGTGATTGGTGATACCTACTGACAGTCACTCATGGACGTCAGAATAAAGAGGGGAGCTGATGTTAGCAGTTTCATCGTATGGTTGTGGCAACATCGAGAGTGAAGCTGAGGAAAACAGGGGGCAAGAGACCCAGGAGGCAGTGGTTTGACGTGGAGAAACTGCAAAACCTCAAGGTCAGTAGTACCTTTGTTCTGCATCTGAAGAAGAATATTCAAGCCCTGGCAGATTTGGAGGACTACCTGCAGTCTGACAAGGAAGATGTCAACGTCAAGTAGGAGCAAGGGCAAACAGCGTATTTCCAGGCCAGTAAAACCTGCTTGGCTTCAAGACAAAGGAAGAAGAAGGAATAGACCACAGCAGAAACTTGATAACCCATTAACACCACGAGAGACGTGAAAAAACAGTGCGTTGAGGCCAAGTCCAAGAGGCTGAAAGAAAGGCGCAAGTAGTAGTACCAAGAGGCAGACAGAAAGGTGAATAAATTGGCAAGAACAGTAAAATGAGCATTAAAGGATGACTTTGGAAGCCAGGCAGAAGTTGCATCCAGCATAGGAGAGCAAGGGAAGGTGTACAAGGTCACCAAGGTAGTCTTTGGCAAGTTTTGTGGATTAACTGATGCTCTTGTTGGAGACAAAGAGGGAGGATTGCCAATATCAGAAGAGATTGACGCTCATTGGGCAGAACACTTCGGTGAAGTCCGGGACAGACTGCTACCAACAGCAGAAGTTGACAACAAGGAAGCAGGGCATGATCTTCAAGTCAACACTGCACCACCAGAGAAAGAAGAGATCATCTCGGCCATCAAGTCCCTTAAAGACAGAAATGCCCCCTGGGCAGGACAATCTTAATGCAGAATTGTTCAAGGCAGCCCTAGGGTTTGCAGCCGAGATAAATTCTTCCACTCTTTACAACCACACGGGAAAGAAAAGGAGAAACGAATGGAGTGGACCGAGGGCATCGTTGTAAAGATCCTCAAGAAGGAAGCTCTTAACAGTTGCAATGATTGGTAGGGACTGACACTTTTATCAAAGATTATCATCCAGATACAAGCGGGCTTCTGGAAGGGTAGAGCTTATATAGACCAAATCTTCACATTGGGAACATCATTTAGCAGTGCTTGGAATGGCAGAGAGAACTGTGCAGCAACTTTATGGACTTCAAGACGGACTTTTGGCATACTTAATATTTAATACCACAAGAAATTGCCCTTCTCATCAAGAGCTTTTTCAACAATTTCACATGTAAGGTAGGGAACAGCAACCACAGTGGTTTGCAAGTGAAGACACGTGAGGCTGTGTGATGTCGGCTCGCTTGTTCAACATAAACATTTGGTGATGTAAGGAACAATGGAAGACAGATGAAAGGCATACAATGGACCATCTTAACAGTACGTGAAAACATGGACTTTGCTCATGATCTGGTTCTAGTCTCCTACACTTAACAACACATCCAGTAGAAGACACCCCGCCTTAACAAATACACTCAGCAGATAGGCCTGAAGATCAGCCAGAAGACAGAGGTGGACATTGAACATCCCAAACCCCTCACTGGTCTAGGTGAATGGAGATATACCAATAGCATAGGAGTTTACTTACTTCGGCAGGGCTTGCTCGCATTTGCTACTAATTTTTCTCCCTTTGCGACTAAAGTTTGTTCAGCAGTAGCAACTTTGCGACCATTCTTCACCTAAATTGGTAAAGAAATAAAAATAAAATTTTGTGTCCTACTTGTTGTGGAGATTTAAAAAGTAGAGGCAAAATCCTGCTTAAGTTCCAAACAACACAACACACAAAAAACGTTTCACGATTAGCTCGATGAGACGCCATTACAGCGGTTCTGTTGTAATAGGTCGGTACTTCATGTAAGGGGACTGATTTCTACAACACAAAAAGTGAACGCCATTTTTTGACTGTGTCAGAAAAAAATTATAACAGTAGTACTGTGCAACAAAATTGCGAGCCCGAAAACTAGATAGATAACAATTATAAAGGATGTCAGAAATTTAATATGTTTGGCGAAAACTGTGCACATACGCCTGGAAAAAATCCTGAGAATCTTGTGGCCCAACATCCTTGTCATAAAGACAGCGAGGAAGTGGAGATGGATTGGGCACATGCTTAAGGAAGAACCAAGTAACATCACCCGCATAACCCTACTCTGGACACCAGAAGGCAAGGGCAAGAGAGGCAGACAAAAAACACTGGGTGGTAAACAGTAGAGGATGCGATGAAGACCCTGAACCACACCTAGGGTAGCACTTAGAAGCTGGAGGACTTTTGTTGCTGCCTTTCATGCCAGCATGCGTAGCGGGCAGTAAACATACCTCCAAATGTTGTCCATAAACAAAGGGAATACAAGGTCAGCGTCGTATTTGACTGCTTAGCAAGATTCAAGATTCATCCATTAGATGGACCTGACCTATATAACAATTGACAGGTAAGTACAACTTACAGATATCTTTATGTTAAAACTTGCAGTGTGAAGTAGATGTTTCATCAGTTTAAAGTAAGTGTAGCCGACAAGTAATATTTGCGATTACGTTGGTGGCCTAATAATGATGTTAAGTAACAGTTCAAGGAGAACAGGATAAAGGTGCATATGTTTGGGGCAAGGTCCTTTCTGGCTTGTGCCGGGTACAGCTTTTTACATACGGCTAGTGAAGAGAAATAAGCATAGTCATCATCCATCATCTTAACAAATACATTGCAAATGATCACAAACTACTTAAATCAGTACCAGATAAAGAGAACATGAGACATCATCTTGGTTCTGTCATCACAAAGACTTCCCATGCACAGAGCCCTTGGTATGCTGTGGTCTGTAGGGTTAGACTGCTTTGGTTTTCCTAGCGTGCTAAAGGACCAGTCCTTAACTACAAGGAGGGCATTTACAATGGTTTTCTTGTCCCCGTGGTCTTTAGAGCAAAGAAAGTATTACTGGCAACCTTTAGAAGAGATGTCGGCTGGTATGAACCTCAACCTGAAGAGATTTTGCCAAGGTGAGAGTGATAGGAACGTGATAATCTATGCCTGAAACATTTACAAATTCCAAGATGCTTTGAGGCAAAGATGATGAGCCACAAGAAGACCCATGAATTTCACATTTTTGCTGATGCAAGCACGTTTGGATGCATACAATGTTTCCACCTTACAGTGCAAAATGAAGACGAAAACATGCATACGTTATTAGTGATGGGAGTTCTGGTGTCGCTTCATTAAAGATAACTACTGAACCAAGATGTGAGGTCACATGCAGTTGTTTCCAATCTAGAACGGTACCTTTTGAATGACTGTAAAGTAGTACTTGGTCACGTAGACAAAGGTAAAACATTTCTTTCGTTTGTCGAAGACACGGTTTAGATAGATAATCAGATTTAAAACTGACACCAAGCAATGCTGATACATCAACACCAAGATCCCAGAAAGCCATGCGTCCAGAGATTTAACTAATGAAGAACTAATGAAGTCCAACAGCTTCAGTGAATCTGAATTCCTTTAGGAGAAACAAATCCCAACAAGTAAATAAGAGAGTCCTGATATTCGAATTAGAGAACCAGAAGTTAAGGCCGCTGTACACACGACTGTGGTCAAGGAGTCCTTCAACCCAATTGTCTGCATGTCAAGATTCACTAATTGCACCAGGACAGTTAGAGTGAGGTAGGGACTGAGGAGGTATACAGTGATATTGCCTCGCATGATTCCCCAAGCAGTACACATAGAGTATTTAGACGACTTGACAACCAATGCTTTCATCCGTGCCTTAAGATGCTTGACAGATCTAACCAACACTCAAAGCTTGTAGGAGAAAGAGACGAACTTGCAAATTCTATGCGGAAGTTGGCAATGACGGGATCTAATCATATTTGAGGACTAATTGCTGCAAATTCGTTCATGAATGTCCCTTATTTCAGTCACTGGGGATGATTATGATAAAGACAAATTAAGATTACTAGATTCATTGTCCTTAATGATTACAAGGGAAGAGTCAACTTGTCCTCACTGCTCGCCTTCTGGCATGAAGTCGTTTCTATAATCAACAGTCTGCCATTGACCAGTCAATACCTGAATGATCCAAAGAATGTAGAGGCTCTATCTCATTATCATGTTTTCTTACGAAGAGGGACAGTCAGACACTTCCATTTCCAGGAAATTTCGCCAAAGAAGTTTATGCCCAGAAACGATTGCGATAAATTCAGTTTCTGGCATAAACCTTTTAGAGTAGTTGGCGAGCAGAGTACCTCATCAACTTGAATTTGAAACAAACGGTTTCAAGCCAAGAGAAGGCTGAAAATCGGGGTCTTCATAATTGTTCAAGGAGACTTCCCACCAAACAAGTGTCCTCCTGGCAAGATTATGGAGACTTCAAAAAGGTCTCACTGCTTCCGCGAAGATAAAGCAGGGATCCAGAAACGCTCAGAAGAAAGGAAAAGACCAAAAAAAAAAACACATGCAACAGTATTCGTTCTTTTGGAAGACAAACAGCTTTGTTTGATGTTCAGATGGAAACTATTCACTATTAGCTGCATGTTTAACTCCATTTATGTGGTTGTCTGAAAGCTTATGTTTTTTGATTGCCTTCACATGCGCACAAGTGTCATTTGTAGATCTTGCTGGAAAATTCTTTAATGTTACAAGGGAAAGTCATACGCAAAAGCGCTACAGAATCTAGTTGCTTAAAAGTTTCAGTCCTTTCTGTTGCATTCGGCTTAAACCTTTTTTGGCCAACTCAAATGGGCAGTAAGTGTTTCAAAGTTTTGCTTGCTTTAGCGATTGTCACAGCAGAGAGGTTAATATTTTCATGCTACATTTGTTTATTTAATTCTATCTTCGTTAGATCAATGTTATTGTTTATGTATAGTGAATTCAAGATCTAAAACTTTAGGCAAAGTTTAGGTTACACACGTCATCGTTTTAACGTTATTTGTAGATCTTAAGTCTTAACCTTTCTTTTTTGTTATTGATTGGTACCTAATTTATTTTAGTTTTCCCGCTATTTCTTAGAAGTTTAAAAAGTTTTGGATAGACATAAATATGGGAACATGCGGAACAATAGTAAGAACTTGATGTACCCATAGTAAAGTCAATTCAAGACCAAGGTCAAAAAGTGTGACTAAAAAGACATCCTCTTGCGCAAAGGAAATAGTGTTATTCCTGTGAACCTTGAGATTCTCGGTTATGCGCACTTGTTAGTTTTAGACAAGGAGGTTTATTTTTACTTAATCAGCGCCTTTTTCTGTTAGTGTTTTTGTGATATGATTTTATCTAAGAAACTAGTAAGCAAGAACAGGAAAGATATTCAAGTTATGCGTGACCTGGGGAAAACATACGAGGAATGTCAGAAACAACTCTGTGAACAAATGAAGCAGAAAACGTTGTACAAGGAACAGATACGGACTGAACCGCCTCAGGGAGTTAAGTTAGCATTCAATGAGAACATTGCTAATGATAGTTTGCAGAATTGCAAGAACCGGCAGAAAGTGCTAACCTCGGAGTTTAGGTGACTACACCGCTACATCTACCGCTTTAAACAGCGTGTCTGCATAGTCTCCTTCAGTTAACTTTATTTATTCATCGACTCCAATTGTTTCCCAGACATCACTGTCTTACAAGCCTCCAATGTTGGAGTATCCCCTTCACATTCAGCAGCCTCCCTTGGATGCACAGATTAACACAGCCCAGGCAATGTTGGGTCAACCCTCTGCCATACGTTTTCGAATGTGCCTTCAATGGGTTATATTTACCAGCAGCTCAAAAGGCATTCCAGCCTGTATCATGTGGTAGCCAAGTACCCTTTTTGACCCCTGCTGTTAGTCAGCCATTAAGTTCCACCAGATCAGTATTGACTCCTCTAAAGCCCTGAAAAGAGTAAGCATTGCCAAATTTTCTGTAATAAGAATATGAATTACTCATGTTTTGACTAAGCCAAAGCGTTACCAGATTACAAGTTGTTACGGTTACGGGAGTACCCTCCGGGTGAAGCCGTTATAGTCATTAAAAGTCTGGGACACTCCTCAGCATCATAAGTCTCAACTAGAACGGAAGTATGGGGGAAAACGCAGAGCACTCACATTATGACTTGAAGAATTAGACGCCTTTAAGCAGATTCGAGAGGGAAATGAAAAAGGCCTTGAGGAGTGGTGAACCTAACAGATGCCAACTAAGAAGCAGAACTTGGAATTGGGTCACGTTACTTTACCTTTCAATGCAAGTTCATCAAGAACCTTCTGGGTAAGTATAAGCAAATAGGTCTGTGACAACTCCAGAACTGAGAATGTAAAGACATTAAGGGAGGTCATGGAAGGAGAATCAGAGTTGATGACCACAGCCTCAGAGACAATATCAGGTGTCCTCAGTGAATCCAGAAATGAAAGGGCCTTCCTAGCTAAAGAAGAACCATGCCTTGTGGACCTGTGAGAAATTTAAGTTGTCAGTACTAGATAACAGTAGATGAACATAGCTAAAGAACATAAACGGTTTTCAGATGTGGTATAAAGTGGTGTCATTCTCATTATCACCAGATGCTTCTCAAAGATCCAAAGAAATAACAGCAAGCTGAGGTAGTAAATGAAGCAGATTAGTCAAATGCAGCAAGGGGTAATGCCACCACAGAAGGGGAGCCAAGTGAGAGAACCCACACAGCCATTACTGGAGCAGAACCTGTAGCCGTGGTAGAGTTTATAGCTCTTAGAACAGTCCCTGTCTTATGTGAAAACGAGGAATCAAAGTAAATGCTCTTCTTGACAATTCCAGCAGTAGAACGTACTTAGACAGGTACATTGCAGCAGAACTCGGATTTGAGGGCAACCCGCACGAACGTACAGTTAGTGTACTGGATGACAATCATGTAAAGTTGGACAGTACAGTTGTTGAGTTCATGATTAGCAGTTCTGATGGAAAAGTTTCTAAAGTAGCCTCTGCCTATACAGCTGAGAGAGTCATAGGAAACATGCAATTAGTTGATTGGAGTAAACACAAGCATAAGTGGGTGCACCTAAAGGGCCTCAAGTTCGCTCATGTAGGACCTAGATCCGTAGTGCCATACTATACCTGCTCATTGGTGTAGACCAAGCTGACTTAGTATACTTGTTGGAAGATGTGAGAGGACGACCTGGTATACCCATAGCTAGACGTGCTCCCTTGGGGTGGACTGCATTGGTAACCTGGAGCTGGCCATAGAGAGATATCAGACCAATTTCATTCATTCCTGAGTGATACACATGAGTTAGCCAATCTTGTTCCTTTTTATTGGTATACAGAAGAACCTAAAGAGACTCTGATGGTCAATCCACATGACAAGTTAGCAAGTGACACTGTTGCTAAGTCCTTGAAGTTCGTTGATGGACACTGTGTTGTTGGCATGCCTTGGAAAAGTGGCAGAACTTTATTACTTGACAATTACAGTTTGGCGTTGCAGCGTCTACAGAGTACTTTGGGAAAACTAAAAGCAGTCCCCGAAACGTGGTGAAGCTTACAAAGAAGTATTGCAGACCTACCAAGATAAAAGGGTACATCAGCTAAGTTCCACCTGGAGAAGATAAGCCTGAACAAGCCTGGTACCTGCCCCACTTTCCATTGCCGAGGCCAGATAAAGCGACGAGCAAGTTTTAAACTCTTCTCCAAAGTGTAATGGGCTGTCCTTAAATGACATTGTGCTACAAGGCCTAAGCTACAGAGCGACTTGTTCGCGGTGCTTCTCAGATTTCGCCATAAACCTGGGGCTTTGATGTGTGACATCAAAGAGGTGTAACTACAAATTAATTTGAAACCTGAAGATCAACCTTATAAACATTTCTTGCGGCGGAACTTGGAGAGACAGGGAGCCTGATGTGTTTCAGATTGACCATGTTGTATTTGGAGTGAAATCGTCTACTTTTGAAGCTCAGTTTGTGGCTGAAGAAGATGCCAGGAGACCTCAGTCAGACGTGCCCTTAGCAGGTGAGGCAATTTTTAAGAGTAGGTACATGGATGACAGCGTGGATTGCGTACCTGATGTAAAGACTGGGGTGGAGTTGATTAGTCAGCTGTGACAGCTCTGGGGCTTTGCTGAAATAAATGTTAGAAAGTGGTTGTCAAATGAACCTGAAAGAATTTGTAATCTTTTTGTAATTTGTTTACCCCACGAAGCAAGTAGGAATTCTTATGAACTTGTTTAAACATGTCTGTGTGTTCCAGATCGAATTGGAATTTGGAAGTGTTGGGTTTTGAGGAGAGGGGAAAACCGGAATGCACGGAGAAAAATCTCTCGTAGCAAGAGATTGAACCAACAACAAACTCAACCCATATATGGCTTTGAAGCTGGGATTTGAACCTGGGCCATATTGGTGAAAGGTGAGTGTTCTCAACAACGAGGCCACCCTTCCTTGTTAAAGTGCATCCCGAGGGAAGTTGATCTTGACCTTGGTGAACTACTGCCTGTTAAAACCTTGGGAGTCCTGGTGCCCCATGGAAGTCATGTTTGATGTTCAAATTAATCAGCGTCCTTAGAAGCAAGATCACACAAAACGCATCTTCCTGAAGAAGTTAGCGACCCTGTTTGATCCTCTTGGCTTGTTAACTACGTACACTATGGGTGCAAAGATTCTTTTACAAGAGATGTGGGCAAGCAGCGTGGACTGGGATCAGCCTATAAATGACAACCTTTCACTTAAAGCTGCTAGGTGGTTTCAAGAGTTACCCGCAGTGGTTAACATTCTTATTTCCTAATGCCTAAGGAGAACAGCCGCTGTCAAAAAAATGACCTTGCACACCTTTGTGGATGTGTCCCAACAAGCGTACGGTGCAGCTAGTTACACCAGACATTTCTATGAGTATGGAACTGTTAGGTATTACCTTGTGGCGTCGAGATCACGTGTTCACCATTGCAAGCTGTCAGAAAGAACATTGGATGTTTTGGTCCGACAGCATGGACGTAATTTACTGGGTTCATGGACAGAACAAAAGTTTCAAACCGTTTGTAGGAAATCGTGTTGGTGAAATCCAAGCCTTGACACGTTTTGACAAAAGAGAATCCAGCTAATTTGCTGACGAGGGGACTTAGTGTCTAAGCTGTCACTGAAAAAGAAGTGTGGTGGGAAGGGCGACCATTCTGAAGCATAACCTGTCTGACTGGCCAAGGATGGAAATGTAAGTTGAAAGAGACAGACGGCAACGTCCAGAAACTGTAGCAAGAACAGATGTCTATTTGCGCAACTATGGAGCAACGCTTAGACCCTCACAGATATTCAAGCTCAGAAGAGCAGCCGCCTGGGTTACCCATTTTGTACAAAACTGCCGTTTGCCAGTTAACATTCACAGGAAAGAAACTATACAACCTGGTGAAATCACCTCTGCAGGCACACGATTTATCCGTCAGGCTCAGCAGGAATTGCATGAAGAACGCAGAGTAGTACAGGCCGGAAAGAACTGCCAAAAACGGAAGTAGATTACAGCCCCGGCCCTAAATCCTGTATAATTGAGGATGGAATTGTCTTATGTGATGGATGGCTTCGCTATGTAGTATTTTTGCCATGGGAGACTTTATTCAATCATACTACCGCGCCACCACTGGGTTATGAGACTCATAATCAAGTATATGCACGAACAGGATCATCATGGTGGATCCAATCAGGTGTTAGCAGACCTTTCTGCTCATTATTGTATAATCTCGGCGAGAGAGGCAATTAAAGAATGGGAAAGAGATTGTATGCATTGCAAAAGAAGAAAGGCCGCTCCAGCCAAAAACATATTGGCCCCTTTACCAGAACTGCGAATCTGGATATAGTTACAAGCTTTCAGCCACATATCTGCTGGACCCTTTATTACCAAACAAGGAAGACGAAAGACCCATCAGAAGAGATATCGTTGACTATTAACTTGCCTTACGACATGAGCTGTTCATCTCGATGTACCATTTAGCCTTAATACTGACTTATTTCTAAATGTATTCATCCCGAATGGTGTCCTGGCATGGTCTACCAAAAGACATTTTATGCGAAATGAGTTGAAGGAATTGGAAGCCTTGGACCAAAAGAAGATTCAGAACTCTACAGTTTAGGAGTAACTTGGCACGTTAAACCTCCTCTTGACCCCTACTTCAGCAGTGTACATGAGATTGCGATCAAGGCTGCGAAGAAAGCTACCGTAAATTTCCGAAAATGAACCAATCCATGTATAAGCCCCTCCAAATATAAGGCCCCCAAACCAGTAATGCAAATAAAAAACAAAGCAAAAATGGTAAATTTACTTCCAACTGTAAGGCTAGCCCAATCGATTTTGAAACGCAAACTTCCCTCCGTAGATAAGCCCCTCAAAAAGGGCTTTTCAAAAATGTAAGCCCCGGGGCTTATTTTCGGAATTTTACGTATTTATTCTATCCTTAGCTCTGCAGATATCACGGATGAGGAAATCCAGAGTGCAGGTGTAGGAGCAGAAGAGTTAATTAGGTAGGCCTACAACGTACTAGTCAAGTGACCCAACGGATCTGACCCCTCTTACCCCTAATCATTTCTTGCAAGAACAGTTGGGAGGTAGATTTGCACCTAATAATGTTTACACTGGAACACTTAACCCAACAAAGAGATGGCGTGGTGTCCAAGAATTTGTTTGCTACTTCTGGCACAGGTGGTTACATGAATGGATCCCCTGTTTAAGTGCAAGGAGCAAAAGGCCTATGGATCAAGTAGACTTGAAGATCAGAGACAGTCATCGTCTCCGTTGGGAAGGATTGTGAAAGTGTACTCTTGAAAGGATAGCAAAGTGCGCGTACAGAAGGTTCAGGCTCCAGGACAAGAAATTTGCCAGAAGATGGGTGCGTTATACATTAACAAGAACTCGGAACATCAACTGAAACAGTCTGACGATTGTCATGCTGTGTGACGTAAGTAGATCCATTATCTCAGGTCAATCAAGGGTCAGTAAGTCCATAAGAGTATCTTCACTAATCGAGCTAAGGAAAGCCGATGCTATTGCGGAGTTGGTTGCAAAGGAAGCTAAACTTAACGCTCCTCGATAAGAAGCAAAACGTTGGAAGGGAATTGCGAAGATCGAGGCACAACTCAGGGCCGAAACTATGAGGATCGAATAAGAAGTGACACAGGAAAACTTAAGAAAGAACAGATAGATGGAAGTGAAGAAGCAACGGCGAGGCTGAAGGTGTACCAAGTAGCTCGAAAATGAGAAGGATCCTGTCAGACAAGTTTAGCCAACCCTAGCATCCTTGCTTCTGCTACAGGTGCCTAGGCATATAACATCGGATGTAACCGTTTGAAATTCAGCAACACAGCCCACTCAGCAGCTTCAGCACGTACATAAGCCCCCTAACAAAGGTTAACCAACCCGAGACAGCAGGCAGTCCCAAGCATTGTATGGTTGTAGTCAGAGAAGTTCAAGGACTGGTAGATAATGTGCATCAGCTTGATTGTAATGGGTTGCCGCTGACACCTATTTGAGCCTTGGTGGCGTTTGATACCTCGCGCAACACACGCTGTAACTGAAGGCAATCAACCAGTGGAGAAGGCAGACCCTCCTCGATGTGAAGGGACCGGATTGCCGAAAGGTAAACCTTTATTGACGAATAGTAGAGAGTATCGGCAAGATGACAGCAGAAATGAATAAGCACGTCTTTACTGGCTGGAAGAGCTGATCCCAAAGGAGATGGGCTACTGTCCTGAGTACAGAAATCCAAGAAGCAGTGTTGGGCAAAAGCATAAACTTTCCTAGTAGAAGGGCCAAGACCCTGAGTCAAGTAGAAGTGGCATTTATCTGACAGCAAAGTTTTAAGTCCGAGAGGTGCTGCTGCGGAATCTGGTTCGGAATGGAGTCTGCATGAAGGGCTAGCCGACAAAAACGCTGAAACTGAAAGTGAGACAGGGAGTCGGCGATCGGGTTAGACTTACTTCTAACTGAGGAGGCAGTGAAAGAGACGGATTGACGAGCTGCCAAAAGGAACAGATACCGAACCAAGGACACGATGGTAGGGGCTCTTGAAGTACCAGACAGCAGGATTTTCACCACTGAGCAGTTATGTGATAGGAAGTTGACCCGTTTGGAGGCCCATAGGGGACCCCAGAGGTAAGCTGCCACAACAATAAGGAAAAGTTCCTTGTACTCGATTGACTGAGAGACCTGTGTTGGGAGCCATGCGCCTGAAAACCAGTGACCCTGGAAGACTACTCCGTGAGCAAGAGTCCGAGAGGCATCTGAAGAAACCTCGAAGTCGGGGAGTGGAGCCAACTGGGGGTACTGAAGGAAGCTGCAACCATTCTAAGACTGGAAATACTCTCGCCACCAGGCTAGGTCAACAAAAATCTCCTGATTGAGACGAATTAGGTGGTCATCGTGTCGAAAAGCGCATAGCAGGTTGATCATTTGGCGCAAGAACGAGCGACCTTGGGGTACGACCTTCCAGGCACGCTGAAGGTGACCTATTAGAGAATCCACTTCCTTGCCTCTACACTAATGCTTCTAAGACCAATCCTCCAAGAAGGCAGTTATCCTCAACGGCCCTTCTAGTTTGTCTGGATGGAGGGGGATGCCAAGCTTAGAAAAACCGTCAATAGACCTGCCCAGATTGTGATGACAGACCAAGGAGCTAGGAGGGCCAAGAGTGTGGAAGTCACCAAGGTAATGCATCAGGAAGGTGACATCATAGTGTTGCTTGGCCACTCACTCCACTAAATCTGCTATAAATGTGAACATATATGAAGCTGACGTGACACCGAAAGGTTGGACCATATCGACATAAAAGGCACCCTGCCATTTCATACCCAGCAACTGGCGATCTTCTGTATGGACTGGGACAATGCGGTATGCATTGTGCACATCAATTTTTGCCGTAAGGGAACCCCGCCCCAGCCACATTATGCCCACAATGTCGTGTACTTTCATTTACTGCAGAGGATAATTCTCGCCTGCAATCCTGTCGTTGACACTGTGGCCAGCAGGGCTAGACAGGTCCAGGATATTTCCCCGGTTTGGGGATGACACCTAAACGGCTCACATGGAGGACAGGGGGGGGGGGAGGCTGAGGAAAGGGGCCCGCCACCTTGCCTGTGTGATTGCAAGTAATTTTCGACGACCTGAGGGTTTAGGAGTGCAGAAGCCATATTCCCTGTTGCTGACTTCAAGGAAGTACTGTAATTGAAGCCTAGGTGAAAACCAGCGCGAAGGCCTTGGACCACGTGTGCAACTTTGTCTGACTTCATGCTGGAATCTGTCCACGCTAATAGGATTAAGCTGAGAAACCGGTCTTAAAGGAGAGACGGCTGAAGAACACAACGAATAACTGGAACTTGGCAGACCGTGCTGCTGAGAAGGTAAAACAAGAGGAGAACGCAACTCTACTGCTGAAAAGTTACCATGGGAACCAAAGAGAACAGAATCAAAACTATGTACAGCTGAATTGGCTAGAGGTGGCCTAGTGATGGCGGTGACCCCCTTTTGACTGAGAAGGGGAGCGGGATTGTTCTCTCCGTGCAGAGCGGTGAGGGCAGTGGATGTGAGGGTGGTCCCCGAGTTACTTTTCACAGGAGTGACGAAACTGGCAGAAACTGGAGCGGGGGCATCTGATTTTTGTTTTCTTCTTAGAGTGTACACTCCCAACTTGGTACCCGCGTGTAATGGCTTGCATTTGTGCCTTTGTGCTTTCCTCCGTTTTAGCTAGGTCATAGACTTGTTGAAAAGTGAAAGAGTTTCCTTTCGATATGGCGTCCTTCCTACCTTTGTCTGATCTCAGTCCGAATACCAACGTGTCCCAAAGGGTTTCCTCGTTGAATGCAGGGTCATAGCCGCTGTCGTCATTGAGTGTTCTGGCTTTAGTCAGAAGTTCTTCTAAGACATGTCTTCTCGTTTCAGCCATCGCAGCTGGTACCTTGATAAAATTTGACTGATCTGGGGTTTTGTGTATGCTTCAAATTTGTCGGAGATGGGTTCTCGTTGAGTTGGTCCTCGTCACTTGACCATGTAGCTTTCTTATAAATCTCTAAGCCTTTATCGCCGGCCCAAAGCAGCAGTAATCTCGCCTTTTCATCCTCCGCTTTATTTCCTAAGGGGCCGTCGAAGATGAGGTTGCATTTTTGTTTGAATATTCTAAACCTGTTGTGCAGGTCTCCGGGAGTCGTCCAGTCCATCGAGGAAGCCGTAAATTTTTGGCCATGGCTGACATTTGAAGTTAAGAAATGAAAACCAAATTCAATAGCGAAGTGAAGCTGTAGGTAAGGTTTGTTGATATCGCTAGGCTTGTGTTTGAACTTCACGAGTAGTATGTAGATTTGGCGGGAACGAACGGGTCTATCGAGTTGAATTCGAGCTGAATTGACTTGAAAGGTGTCTGTATCCTGTATCCTGGGTAGAAAGTTGTGGGCCCAGGTTCTCGCGGCCGATGCTATGACAAGAGGAATTCGCAATGCTGTCCTTGTCGCGACTGAAACTTTGGATCAAAGTTCCTGACTGCTAAGAAGAATCGTTGAAACCTTTCCAGACAAAAGAGGTTTTGTTCGCCTTCTGAACGTTTACATTTAGTCAGCTGTGTTCAAAAACCCCGTTGATAAGCTATGCCTTATGGTTAAAGGAGGCTGTTCCAGAAAAGGAAACATGGACAAATAAGACATGAGGACATTTAATTGACATTTTTGAGGCTATCATTAGCTTGCATAGTTTACTATTCCTGTGATCTTTTTAGGTCTGTTTGCATTTTGGTGAATCTTAAGTGATTCAGTTAGGGGCCGGCATTTTGTATCTAACGCGTAAAGAACAGTATAGTAAGTAATCAGCTCCCCTAGGAATCTCGCGTGCGTTTAGCTGATGATTAGAGTTTTTTGCTTTGAGCCGCCTTAAATGCATTTTCAGCATAATTTTATTTCAACGTTGTTTTTACGAGTAGACCACTTCATGTATTTTACCTGTACAGAGTATCTCGAGCATTTACGACCAGTGCCGGGTTGTTCGAAGCTGGGTTAAGATAACCCAGGGTTAGTGCGAAATTTGAATTCAGATATGAAGGCTTAAGAGGTAAATTCAGCTTTATTCTTTTTGTCAACAAGTTGATGATTGGATGGTCTTAAAAATAACAGAGAAATTTATCCGAGAAAATGCTTTTCAACAAAAGAAAAAGAAACCCGGGTTAAATTTAACACTGCGTTAAGCGCTAATTGGCCTTCGAACCACTGGGCTCAGAAGTTTTGCGCCAACACGGTAAAAGTTTCTTTTATTTTTAGGGTTGCATGACTAGTGTGTCAGCCAGAAAAATTTACTTGGTGGCCTTTAGTAGAGGCCAATTGTTTTAGGATGGCTGCCTTTCAGTTACGAAAAATTTAACTGTCTGTAACTTGAATGGAATAACAGGAAAGACTGTCAAAATGAATCTTTATGTGTAGTTTTAGGGTTATAGTTTCATTTGTTAAGAAGTTTGGGCATTTGAATAGGCCATTTGCCCGATGACGTCTTTTTACTACCAAGACTAGAATTCTAAAACAAAAATTAATAATATAAAAAAGTTGACGTTTCGATGGCTTCATGTCATCATTATCAAAAGAAATTAACATGATTCGTCGTACTATTTATAGAAAAAGAAAGTGCATGTCAATGTAAGAGTGAAAATCCTTATCAACGACTAGAAATTAGTTCGTTTTTTCTTTCATATTTTTTGTACTATGGTAGTAGCAGTAAAATGAACCCATCATGCATTGGCCTATTCTGGCAAAACATGAAAGTGAGGCTATCCAGGGTAGGTTATTATTTGCAGCTGCTAACCCAAAACCGTTCAAGCTTTCCAAGATAACATACTTTGTAGTGCTTAATAATTTGATAACAATAAAAAGTTAATCAAGCAGGAAATAGCAATGCGGCCATTTTGAATAACAAATGATGTGTACCGTCAAAAACAATATTTCGCCACTTGCACATCTCCCAAAATGGACCTTGTTTACCCCCCTAAAATTTTGCATAAGGATTGTTTTCAATTTCTCTTGGGACAGCTGTAATACCCACGAGAAATGAAAAACAAAGGTTATGCAACATTTGGGGGTGGTCAAATAAGGAGGATTTTTGGAGATGCGCAAGTGGAGAATAGACTATGGTATGTTCAGTCGTAAGTGCTTTTGGAGTGTTTGTACTCATTAAAGTTTCTTTTGAATCATAATTTGGCTTATGTTATTTTCCGACTCATTTCTGTTCTCACATCAAGAAGTTATGGAAAATGTGCACTTATGACTGGGCTTTACAGAATGCTAGTTGAGATTGCCATGATTATTTTCATGCCCTCAAAAGGGGCTCTGTAATGTCACTTTGGGAATCACAAATTTTTGATATAGTAGGGTGGCTAAGCAACAGAAGGGGTCGTTTTATGCACTTTTGATTACAAGCACCAAACTTGGCACAGATGTTCCTTGGGTCACCCTGGACCGACTTTGAAGGGGTGCCAAGAAATAGTGCGTTCAGCAGGAAGGGGAGGAGTGGTTTTGTCAAAGTACCATAATCTCTTGCTGCAGGTTTACGTGATATTCTGTGATCGGTTTTACCACGGACAGAACCCATTACCAGACATTCTTAGCACATCAACCCACCTAAAAAAGTCGTCGTTGAAGATGAGCCACGAAAAAATATTTGTTAGGTGCCTGACATGTACCTTCATGTTATTTTGAGGGTTCTAAAACTACAATGCCAACAAAATACAGTACTCTTCTGAGTACTGTTTAAGTCTTATCTTCGTGGATATGCTCAGTATTTTTAAATTCGTTTTTGGACAACACAACAAAAGTTAACATTTTTCTTCTGTACAAGTTGTACACTTATCATAAAACTCTGCTCTATTTGTCTTAAACAAAACGAATTTCATTAGATATGTTGCTGTATTTGAAAGGCATTGAGTCACTCGTTTTTAGTTAACAGATAACCACCCATTGTTCACAACTGCTCGATACACTTTAAACACAGCCACCTTAATTAAGCAAGTCACAAACATGAACGAAAGACTGATTTTTTTCTCAATCATAATTGGAGAAAATATCGTATAACTGAGCGCTATATGGTTATAAAACACTAAAAACGAGCCAACGCGTCAGAAACGCTCAAGTCTCTCTTGATCTCTCAGTCATCTCAGACTCGGTCGAAGAACAGACGGATTTTTCATGTTTTCTTTCTCCAGTTGTGCTCCTGAATAGGCCTTGTTCACATTGACGTCGCTTTTGGAAATTAGACCGTTCTGAGATCAGTTTAGCCAGTAACTTTTTTTTTGTTTGAAATGGATCCTAGAGAACCCAAACCATCTCAGAGACCCAGATCTCTTATTGACGAAGCCGAAGGCGAGATCTGGTCAAATCCGATTATTGCCTGTCAGGAATGTGACAGGCGATGAAAGAGCGCATGCTCGAAATGAATCCTCAATTTTCGACGTGTTAAACAACGAATTTGATAGAGCCGTGACGTTTTTTTTCTAACAAAACGTGGTTATACGCACATCTTAAGTATGAACCAACTAATTTTTGGTTGTTTTTGTTCTTTTTAACATCAAATTCAACGTGACAGTTAGTTTGAATTTCATTGTCATTGTGCTCGCTAAAACCTCAAAGCAGTACGCGTCAACTTCTACGCGAGAATTTTTTACCCTCTTCAAAAGTCTTTATTGACAGGGAGAGAGAGAGTTTTAAAAAGTCTTAAAAGAAATGACAAAAATGGTTTTCCAAGTTTTATTGAGACGGAAAACTACTCTTTAGTGAACAGAACCAAAGACTTTGCAAAGAATGAATTGCACACGCTACAGCGTATGTTTATTTGGCCAGTTACTAATAAAACGAGAAACCAGGCGAAATGAGCCGAAACGACCTAAATGATCCCCAACCATCAAAACTAATAGACAAAAGATCCACAACGACCCAAAACAAGTTCCACCCTCCTAGGGACGTCGGTTAAAATTGATTAAATAATAAATATTTCACTGCTTTTTACATATCCGGAGGGAAGGATGATCTGTATGGTCTTTTTATACAAAAAGACTTCAAAACAAAAGGATAACAGGCGACATCTGGGCGTTGCATGCATTTTTCTATCTGCATGGCTGAAAATAGAGTTCACAAAAGTAGATTGAGTGAAAAATAGAGTCCTGAGTTCAGTCTCACTCTCTACTAATCACTAACCAGCTCCGAGATCCTCCATCCCCAATTACATGGAGATTTGGATTAGATTAATCGTAGGAGAAAACTTTAAATTGCGATGTCGGTGTTTCCCTACGTTTTTTTGCGGTGATGCGGTGCTTGTTATTTTTTTTCTGCGGTGTTGCGGTGTAGAGAGTCCCCCAATGTCTTTCTCATTATTATACCATAAACCCTTACGGAACTGTAATACATTTCTTTCCGTAACTTTGTAAATCGATAAAGAAAACAAACTTGTTATGCCTTCTAACAACGTCTTTCAATATAGCAAGATTCGAACACGAAAACGAAGTGCGAAGAAAAGCATTTAAACCGGAAAAAAAAATGGAATCCAACTCTTTTAGGAATCCGGAATCCACTGTGCTGGAATCCGGAATCCAGTATCCGGAATCCAGTATCCGGAATCCGGAATCCACAGCATGGAATCCAGAATCCAAGACTGTCCTGGATTCCCTTACATGGGGCGACCTGTTGGTCGCTTACGAAAATCAAACCGCATTTTTGTCTCTTTCGAAGAGGTACCGAAACTGCCGAACTACTGCACTCCTACGGTTTGGAAGAGAATTTATTGCATGCAATGTGTTAAGTTATGATATGCGTTATTCCGTGTTGTCACTAAATACATATAGTTCTTCGTAT